ACCACTACACCAAACTGGCTCTCTCCCGGAATATCATGGTCCTTGCCATCCATCACAGAGCTGCTTAACTGAACTAAGGCTCCATCGTGGGCCAATTTGGGGGGGGGGCAACAGTGGGGGGAACTTCTAGTGCCCTGGCCCCACTGCTGGACCTCCTGATGGCACCTGGTATTTCTGGCCACTGTATGTCACAAGAGTGTTGGACTGGATGGGCCATGGGCTTGATCCAACATTGGCTTCTCTTATGTTTGTGTGTTAGCTTTTTACGCCACACTGAGCTCAACTCCAAGACACGCCACAGGCTAATAAAAGACATCTGAGCATGTGCAGAGTTCGTTTCCCTCCAAAGCGAATGCCAGCAACCAGCCCCCAAGCCGCTGGAGTTTAAGGCCAGTCCTGATGGATTTCCTGCACAGAAAGCACACTTGTGCATGGAATGGCGGGAAATCCACACAGAGATGGCCCCATTGAAAAGGCTGCACGCACGCACACATCTGTTCCTTACACACAGATCACACAGCCTTGCACTGCTCATTCAACAAAATAAGTCTGGGATCTCGCCGCTGCACTGCGGGGTGACCCTCCTCAGTGTTCTGGTGTTAGCGACAGAAGCAGGGAAGCAGGCGCCTTACCCTCCATCTTCACTGCCAAGAAACTAAAATAAGCCTCCAGCACCTCTTTTCCTTGTCCTTGTCCTGTCAACGCCCACTCCTGTCGACTTGAGTTTTCCTTTGAAGAACGCCCTCCTCCACCCCTTCTTCCCCCTGAGTAGCAGCACACCCACCCCACACACACACAGGAAGCTGCCTTTTACTGAATCAGGCCCTCGGTCCAGCAAGGTCAGTCTTGTCTACTCAGACTGGCAGCCGCTCTCCAGGGTCTCCGGCAGAGGTCTTTCACATCACCTGCTGCCTGGTCCTTTTAACTGGAGATGCCAGGGACTGAACCTGGGACCTTCTGCATGCCATGCAGAGGCTCTTCCACTCAGCCACAGCCCCTCTTTACAGGTCTCCAGGGACTCCAGCAGAGGTCTTTCACATCTCCTACTGCCCAGTCCTTTCAACTGGAGATGCCGGGGATTGAACCTGGGACCTTCTGCATTCAAGGCAGATGCTCTACCCCTGAGCCACACCCCTGAACCTTGGGGCCGGCCATTTTTAAACCAGCCCCAGTGGTGCTGCGTGTCTTGCAGCGTAGCTGCAGCAACAGATAACAGGCCATTAAAGATGCATGGACCTTTCAGTGAACGCACACACCCAGGCAAGGACAACATTTCCCAGGAGGAAAGCTGGTGAGAAAACCAAGGCTGAGACTTATCAAGTAGGTCCCTGGTTCAATCCCCGGTAGCATCTCCAGTTAAAAAAGGACCAGGCAGGAGGTGATGTGGAAAACCTCCACCTGAGACCCTGGAGAGCTGTCAAGAGGGGCTGTGGCTCAGTGGCAGAGCCTCTGCTTGGCATGCAGAAGGTCCCAGGTTCAGTCCCCAGCATCTCCAGTTAAAAAGGACCAGGCAGTAGGTGATGTGGCAATAGGTGATGTGGATGACCTCCACCTGAGACCCTAGAAAGCTGTAAAGAGGGGCCGTGGTTCAGTGGCAGAGCATCTGCTTGGCATGTAGAAGGTCCAGGTTCAATCCCCAGCATCTCCAGTTAAAAAGGACCAGGCAAGGGGTGATGTGGAAGACCTCCGCCTGAGATCCTGGAGAGCTGAAAAGAGGGGCCGTGGCTCAGGGGAAGAGCATCTGCTTGGCATGCAGAAGGTCCCAGGTTCAGTCCCCGGCATCTCCAATAAAAAGGACCGGGCAGAGGGTGATGTGGAAGACCCTGGCGAGCGGCTGCCAGTCTGAGTAGACAACACTGACCTGGATGGATCAGAAGGTCTGATTCAGTAGAAGGCAGCTTCATATGCACAAGGGGAGGCTCCCAGTAAGAAGGGCAGAGACACCTCCTGCCTTCCTCCATCTTGTATTCCACGACGATCTCTTAACCACACAGCAAGATCTGCCAACACGAAGGCAGGGGGAGTGGCATATTTGTGCAAAGCACCCCCCCCCCAATTCACTGCAGCTACACGGTGCCCTCCACTCCAGGTACCTTTGGACCAATCATGTCCAGCAATGCAATACGAAGGCACAGAAGGCAATTCCAAGGCACAGAAACAGAGCCGGGGGGGTGCCGCTTGTCAGTGGCCTGGTCTCGGTGGGCGTGGCGCTGCCCAGTGCCAAACGGCTTCAGCCCCAGAAGGCAGAATACAGACGAAGCAACACAGGCTTTTACACAGCAGGTGGGCATGAGACCCCCGCCTCCGCCCGCCCTCCGTCACTCCTGGACATGCTTGAGCCCGTTTTTCTGTTAGCTGCTAAAACAGCACAGTGATGTCACCCCCCACCCCCAGTGTTTTAAAATGCTTTTTCTGTCTCCCGAATCGTAAAAAAAATCCCCCAGGGGCCAACAGCTTTGCCATTAAAGCCAGACAGTGAAGCCGTCTCTGCGAGTGCAGCAGGGAAGCGAATCCACTGGGGAGGTTGTGAGCATCCTCTGGAAGGAGGGCCAGCAATTCTATGGCTTGCTCAGGGTGTGCCCTGGCACCATTGGGGGCTGCCCTCTTGGC